TAAACGCTTGAAGATAATATTTTCAGATAGAGATAAATTGATTTATCTCTATTGTATCCCTTATAGTCCAAAACAGTCTCGCCGAAACTCCACCGACCGATCCAAGTTTTTCTTCTCGCACGTCATGCTGCTTACGAGAAGTGAGAGAGCGTGCCGTACAGGAGAAAAAACTCACCTGCTCGCTAGCACATCGACTGAATTGCCATCCTCTAATTACAACACCATGAGGTCCAGTTTGGTACTTTTCCCAGAATGGCTGCACTCCCGGTAGCGCCTCATTCCAAGCTTTGGTCAGAGGTGACTGGCACAAAGCCAGAGGGAAAAGGATAAGGAGGAGCAAAAGCATCCTGAAACGAAGTAAGCAGTTAGTTCCTTCAGACATAGTTTAAAGTTGACGTAACGAAACAAAGGGAAACGGAATGACGCTAAGCGAAGTGGACAACTTTAATGATCAGCTTATATCAGCGACCAGGATATGGAGTCTGGTCCGTCAGTCAGGATCAGGATAGCGCGGTTCGTCATATCGGTTAGAAGGAGCTATCTTCGGAGTGGTTAGGGAAGAACGAGAACTCGATTCAAAGTGTCTCCGAACACGTTCAGCGCTTGTTGTGAAAGCGATCAAGTAGGATAGTTCTTGCAACCTCGTCGGAGGCAGGTTTAAGGGCTTAGTAGCTGCAGTAGGAATGTCCATTTAGAAGGAAAATGGAGGACCTTTCTGGAAGCTTGATTTGTTGCGCACGAAATTAGCGTCAAGGTAAGCTACGTATTTGGGCGCAACGATGGTGGGTTTTTCAAATGACAGATAGAACACGTTACTGAGCCAAAAGTGTATTTCCCAAAAATGGAAGATTATATTAGAGCAGAAACAGCTCTTCATTTGGATAGAAACTTGTGAGTTCTTTAATAAAGAAACTTACCAACTTCCCTCAACTATGTAATGATTGAAAAAAAGCACAAAGTTTCACGAAGATTTGATACATTTTTTCAGAAGGTATTACAATTGTGTAAGGTCATAGAACGTCAGATTCAAATTAATGGGAAACTCGGGCGTATCTTTGATCGCGCTAACCTAGAAAAACTTGCGACTTGACCGGAATGGTGTGAACGCTACACTTCTTACCCAAGCTGAAAACCTTCAGTCGCTCAGCAGTACTACGCCAGATGGATCGCCCAATCTAACAAATGATAGTGATTTTCCAAGCAACCGAATTGCACTTTTAACGTAGAGCCATTCTTAATACTGTACAGAGATACTTCGTATCAAATTGAGTAGTCAATATTTACTCCATAGTGACAAGTTACTCTACGATTGACGAAGGAAGAGAAAGAAAAGAGATCATTCTAAACGACTTTGGACGACCCGCAGTCTTTTGTTCATTTAGGGATACTCACCTCTTGTAACAATCATAAGTGATGTCCTTGTTAACGAATTCTACTAATTATTTGTCATTCAAAAGTTTGATTATTTGGAAAATTTCATTGTTGATGTGGTAGGATTGAGCGGTCACTCGCAAACAACCCAGGATAGTGCAAAATAATGTGCGAAGGACGTTCGCATAAGAAAGGAAGTAGTAAGAAAGGAAGAAAGGGATGTAATT